CCAACTCGACTTAAGAGTACTTTCATCACATTTTTTATAAAAGCGCTTCTACACAATATTACCCAGCCACAAATAAAGCAGCCAGGTGGCCGAACATTAAAGGGACTGTTCTATAAATGACAAGTTATGGGTTCAATCCTGAAGCAACCATATGTCCTGTAAATAGTGTCCTTGAATCAGACACTGACCTCCTACTGCTTACTCTCGCTAAACTGCTCTGGATGAAGCATCAGCTTAAATGCTTAAGATGTAAATAAAACAGGAGGAGACTGCTGGGAGCACAAGGGCCTGTTTCTAGCAGAGAGGGGGAGAGAGGAGTGAGGCGGCTCTGAGGGACAGAGCCTGCATGCTAACATAACACTGAATGCTGATCAGACTCTTAACGAAGAGACTGCTCATCGTTCTCTGGCGTGAAATAGGATTACCATATGTTGGTTAAAGTCCTGCTAAATGTAAGCCAGCAGTAAATGCTAACAAGGACAAACTGATCAAATAAACTCACTGCGTTACTTAGATAAGGTTGTATTTATGGGGATGGAAATTTGTATAATTTGTAGATTTTAGCATGTAAAAAAATGGAGCTATTTTTAAAGGATGACAAAAAATCTAGAAAATGAATGTAATTCATTGACATTATTGTATCATAGTTTGCATTGTTCTGACCAGCAGTGTCCTGCAGCTCCCTGTGAGCACTTAATGAAAGAGGTTATGGTTTAATGTCAGAGCAGAGAACTCACAGTTGTCAAATATGATTTTGCTCTAATATGCACCATGTGGCGCTGTATGTTTTCTGTGATTGGAGGGTAGTGTCACTGCAGCTGTCACCCCAGCCTGCTCTCTGCTCTGCCTTGGGAAAAAAGCAGCAGAGATACAGATGTAATTACTTGACAGAACAGCAACACTGTATGAAAATGTGACAATTTCATAAAACCCACTGCAGCAAGGGTAACAGATGATACAACACACAATACTGTGCACAACTCTTTAGGCACAGATGTTGGCAGCGAAGCATGGTGAAGCATCCCGCTGTTTTAGTTTTTGTTGTTTTGGGGTTTTTTTTGCAGAGAGCGTGTCAAAACTAGAGACTAGAACTACAATTAGATCTTTTATCATGCAAAATAATCAGATCGCTTAAGTTCATTCTGTAGCGTGACAATGACCCCAAACAGAGCCAGAGTAATAGCTTCAGAACATGTACTGAATGTGCTTTATTAAAGGGTTTTATCAGACTGTGATTTACGTCTACTTCACCTTATATGTTCATTGTTGAGTAAAAGCTATTGATACCAATTATTTTTATACTATATCCTCACTTCACAGTGAGAACCAAAATCTGTTTCTTCTTTCTTTTGTACTAAACATGTTCTCACACTCTGGAGCCATTTTGGTAACATCTCCAGGCACATATTTGTCCAATTATTTTTAAGCTATATCTATATTAACTTTAATTTCAGTGATCATAAAAGTCATATACTAGAATAAAAACAGTTTTAAAGTTTTAATAGAATAGAATAGGAATAAACCTTTAATACTGCACAGATGAGAAATTTGGGTGTTACCCAGCTTTATGTCACTAGGGGAATTAATTAATATAGAATATTAAAAATTATAAATTACTAAAATGTGCCTGGGACTTTGCACCAAAATAAGGCTCAGAGTCTGAGATGTTTTTATCTTTCAAAAGGGAACATCATGTTCTTGCGTTGCCAGAGTACGGAGTATAGAATATGGACAATAGCTTTCTTTTCTGTTAGCGCCGGTGTCCTTCTATTATAGTGATACTAAACAAGGCAGGAAATATATTTTTATTCTACAAAATGAAATGAATGTATCTACTCTGCAGAAGTGTTTGTGAATTTCAACAGATCGATTAGCTTGCTGCATTATATGTATGAACTGCATTTTTATCAGTTGCAGTTTCACCATCTCAGTGCCTAATGCTTCCCTCTTGTGGTGTCATGGTGGTTAGAAATAAATATGATATGTTATATGAAGTATATAATAAAAGCAAAGGCTTCACGTAAAGAGGGATTTGGACTGCTTTAGTGACCTGCAGTATCCCACTGATTAACAGCCTCAACTGACACGTTCATGATGACTTTTGCTTTGTTCCCATTCCTCAGATCAATTTTCCCTTTATAAGGTTTGCTAAACCAGATGCTATATTTATGCTAAAAGTGGCCATAAAGAGTAAGGTCAGAAGGAGGAAAGGTAATACAGCAATGAAGAATAAAGGAAAAGTCAAAGACCGATTCCAGCTTTAAAAGCTATCTATGTATTTTTTTGTACATAGATTTATATGAAAAAGATGATCTGATTTCTAGCAGCAAAGGGCACATGCAAAAAAGCATTGGCAGGATAAATTCAGTTAAAGCAGTTAAATCAGTGCAAAGGTACAGAAAAATACTTATATTAGTTTGGAAATCAACAAGCAAAGAAATCCAGATAGATGTGATTTTTCCCATTCAATAGTACTTTTAATGTTCATAATTAAAAATGCTTTTGATTAATTTTGTCAGTAGGAGTAAAAGTTTGATGATTTTTTTCTCAGTGTTACTGCTCCATTAATAATAAGTGTTTAATAATTAATAATAAGTGAATCCAAGTTTTACCCCAATGTTTCCACCATTCCTCTCACCTAACCCTCATTTCCTCTTCAGGCCTTGCCTTTCAACCACACACACCCTCTACAGCAAATTAACAATATCTGAAAGTCATGTCCTTAAGAAATAAGAGGGGAAAATCGAGTTAAGACCCAACACAGGACCTGAAAGGTGCATCTAGCCCTTCAGCTGATTCATCTACCGTTTGCTGAACCCTTGTCAGAAATTGTTAGAAGAAGAAGAAGCTATTCTTAAGGATGGGAAACTCTTGATTGATGGAATCTTGAATATAGAAAAGTAACAATGGATTTTAATCCACAATGTAATGCCATTGGGAAAGCATGTGATTGGCAAATGCATCATTTTTCAGGATAGCAATGATCCCCAAAATACTGTCAATACAGTAAAAGTATACCTGGATAGAAAAACATACAATAGAACAGCATCAGTCATGGCTTGGCCTCCCCAGAGCCCAGACCTCAATATTACTGAAGCAGTGTGGGATCATTGTGACACGAGAACGGAACAAAAGGCGGACAACACCCAAAGACGTGCTCTGAATATCCTTCAAGAAGCCTGGAAAACTGTTCCTGTGGAAATGACAAGAAAACTAGAACTGAAGAATAACAGTTACAATGCCAAATATTGACTTTCAAGCTTGTTATATTGTTATAAACTCTATTTTACGTATATTTCCATTTATGTTTGCACATGTTCAATAAAATCATTGCCCTGAGGCAACGAGGAATGGCTAAAGATTTCTGCCAGTACTCCATAACAAACATTAACTAAAAGTGTTTGATAAATGCATTCTATTTGCTTTTTTAAAAATCACAAAGTAAGAGATTTTTTTTCAATTTAAGTGAGCATTATGTTAATGTTTTAAATGTCATGGCATAGGATCAGATAGCTTCAAAGTAAATTATATTTTGAAATGTACAATCCCTTAAACACTGTGTCCTGATCTTGAACTAATAACTACTGAGATCTCAAGTCTACTGCATAATAAGACAAACAGCACCATTTAGAAAATGTCTTTTTATTGCAAGTATTCTTAATGCTTTGATGTTTTGTACAGATTTTCATATTTACAGTGATAATTAGTATTCGTCTAATAAATAAGTACAACTGAAAGTCATTCTCTAGCCTACATGTTTAAATACTGCACGTGCAAAGTATGTATAATATGTGCTTGTCCAATAGATATGCTGTCTTAGTAGCTATTTACAATGTTACATAAGAAACAAATGTGGGATCCAACCACCATGCTACTAAAGAGACACTGTGCGTTTCCCCTCCAAAACAAACCCTCCACTTCAGTGATGGAGTCATGCAATCATTCTACTGGGGTGAAGACAGTTTAATTACAGCATCACTGCAATAACAGTATCCATCCAAAAAAAAAACCCATCAAATAAAATTTTAATTATTTCTAAATAAGAAATTCGTGATAAAACAGTTTTCCAATTAACCACTACATAACAGTAGTGTCTAGTTCTTATTTGGTAGGAAATGTCCACCAGTGCTGTAACGTTTTCAAAAATAATAGTAAAAGAAAAAAAGCATTTTGATGAAAAACTAAACCAGCGTGACCTACTGTACAAGTTTGTTTAGGCTGCTTTTGCAGCAGTGCTCTTTATAAGTCTCCAGGGTGCGATAGTAATAAATCATCTGTGAATGAAACCTTTTACACGTTTAAAATCACTTTGTCTGCCATAGGCAAGAAATCTGTTCCTATAAATACACCGTTTAATTATGTGTTCGCATTGCAACTGCTGCTCTGCCAGAAGTGTAGGTAGAGCAAAGTCAACCTATACATTATACATATCCTCATATTTGAACATTCAATATCAATATATTTTCCACATATTGTGAATATAACGCTGAGTCCTGCCTGACAGCACATTCCCATGAGTGTGCAGAGAGGGAGAAACACGCAAACACCGTGACGAGACAAGAGCACGGCCAGTGTGATGTTACTTCACCTCTAGATGGCACTATTGCACAACCTACAACCTTCTGCATCGTTTCACTGGAATGGATGACAAGTACAGTGCAAAAACAATAACAGGAACAAACTGAGTCCGATATGATATACATATTTATGCCAAAAAAATGCCCGTTTGATCTTGTGTTTCCATGTAGGAACAGGGAAAAATGTCTATATTGTGTTGTCTGGTTCACCTCGGCAGAGTTCTATGGCTTTGGCAGGAGGGTTGAGAGGAAACAGAAAGGGCCTTTACCGCCTGCACCTGGCATGTTTGTGATGAAGCAGCCGCCTCTACTCCTGCTGAGCCTCCTCCCTGTACCTCTGAACCCGAGTGAGCAGAGAGCACCGACGGTCATGCACACACACAGATACTGTACACTTCAACAGACACTGGAGATACAAATGATGGGCCATTTGCTAAACCTGCAGCACACACTGCTTTCTATGTGAAAGAACCATTCTGTGAGAAAAACTCTACTGCTCATTTGATCTATGACCTCTGAAAAACAGTTCATGATTTCCATTACTATTCAATTATAAAAAAAAAAGTACATTCCCTGGGTTATACAGCACTGATATGCAAAGCTTAATTGTATATCTGTAACTCTAGAACTGCAGTATTTATAGTTTTCTTAGTTTAATATTTCAATTTCATATTCTTCTTCTAAGTATAAAATCCCTTTTGTTATATTTGTCTCATTAATTTAACTGAAATACACTGAAAATTGCTCACAAATTAAGGTTTATGTGTCAATACAAATGCAGGTTTTATTGCTGGGAGCTTCCCGTGATGCACTGACTATTTCTTCTTCCATGACACTAATGTTTTGTCTTTGCTTCATCATTTATGTACTGTACTGTATCCCCAGTTTTCCAGCGAGGGCTGCGTACATTTTGATTGCATTAACGTTTTTATCCAGCCTTTATGTGCAATAAACAGAAGCTGCAAAATTCAAATGTAGTTACTGACAGGCCAAAGTGCAACAGGGAAGAGATTAAATGGGATCAAAGGGAGTGGCATTATAAATTCCTTCCTTCCTGAGATTCAAATCCTCCAATCAAAACGGTGCCAGCAATGCAAAGACAGATTTCTTTAAAAGATTGGACACAATAACAAAGTCAGTCGTTTATTTATTAAAGCACTGTTAATAATTTTAGTTGCTGCTATTTCAAATAAATGTTTGGTACAACAAATTTCTCCGTGTTCTGTCTCAGGCTTTATTCGGGCCCTGGTACTAGAGCTATGGTCTGTTCTTGAGTGCAGCAGTGACGACATCAGAGTGGTCCGTCCCAAACCAACTCCCATTGACCCCACAGATAGGAGTTGCATTAAGGTATTGTATGTATGTGCGTGCGTGTGTGTGTGAGAGAGAGAGGGAGAAGGAGAAACTTCCTGGAGCCCACAATGCCCCAATTTTTAGATATCTACATAATAGTACAGACACAGATCTCTTAGAAGTTTTGCTTTTCCATCATGTTTTTAGCTCACTGGTTACAAAGGTGTTTAAATTGATTAAAATTAAATTGATTCCAATTATTATTAACCCAGGACTCAGAATAGTGGTCCATGTGTTGCTGTGATACCAGCAGCCATGTAGAAAATTCACTTGTGAATATTCATATTTAAGAAACTGGCAATAGTGATTTTGTTAACAAGAAAGGCTTTTTGCTGATTGGTTTATGGGTGTCTGGGCAAATAAGCCTTACTTTCATAAGACTGCATTTTTAGTTATGTTTTTGGCAGAATTTCTCTCAGGAAAGCTTCAACAAGCTCCAGCGTGAGCCTGTCTGTGTGTGTCTGATGCTTGGCCTCTGACAGCAGCCAAGTCATCTCTCTCAGAGAGACTAGCCAAGTGAATACGGACAGCCAGTGATGTGTAAACTGTGTCCTGCCACAGGCGACTTTAAAGTCTGCCTTATCAGTGGGTTATACATATATGCTGAGGTCAAAGGAAAACTAAATATACACACACCAGCACTTTGGTGAATTAACTCGAGTCTTTGCTTTAATCTGTGCTAAGTACAGTAGGAGGTTTGGTAGTACATATGAAGATAAGTTCACACATGCACAGAAACATCAGAAGACACATGAAAGTATAGATATTTCTATTTTAGAAAAAAAAATCCATCGTATCTTGTTTTTTTCTTTACGTTTCTTTGAAGCTGTTTAATATAATCTAAGTTGTAGCTCGTTTGTGCAAGTGTCTCTCTTTTTTTCCTTTGATGCTTTTGATGATATGTTTTCCCTGTTCTACCAGACCCAGTGAAAAATGCAGGGAGCTTTCCTGTAGTTTAATATTCTTCAGGCTGCAATAGGTTTCTGCTCAACCACTCTGCTCAGAATATATGTCTTATTCAGTTTTGAGAGTGTGGTAAACCATGTTTTATCTTTGCAATCATAAATTCTTTTTACATTTTGTTTTGCTTTGAATACTACAGATATTATTTGTCATATTATCGGTAGTGTTTGTAGTTGAATAGTGTTATATTATTATTATGTGTTAGGATTTGATCAATCCATGACGTGCACAAATGCATTCACAATGGTCTTTAAAAGCAAATACATTTTTTCTCTCTAACAGCTGCTGTATTTACTTTCCTCTTCAGTCCTTCCTGTACTTGGTCAACCTCCTCTCCTCTTCCCAGTCGGTGTGGCAACTGCTGGGCCGACAGTCTTTGGCCAACAAAAGCGAATACACCCTGAGGGAGATGCCAACCTCCATACCTGTAAGTGTTTTTCTTCTTCTTCTTTTCCACACACTGCAGTTTTTTTTTGTCATCCATCTGAGGGCATGTTTGCACTTTTTATTTGGCCTCCAAACACCACCCACCCATTTGTTTTACTTCAAACGCATTCAAATAAACCCTCTCACACTGAGACTGATATACGTTCTCCACCTTACCCATTGTAAATTTCCACACAGTTTTCGTTTTGCACCCTATCCGGTGCATTCTTGTTCAAAGCCTCTCATTTTACTCCACAGGATTTGATTGACAGACTGATTGCCGTGAATTCGGATGGGAAGATTCATTCTCTCTTCCACTACGAAGAGAGTCACACATTCGGCCTAAGGTGGGATTCATTATTTTTTTCATATTACTTAACATCAGTGGGGAAGTAGACGATATCAGATTATCACCTGGTGACTGCACACACACTTCAGCCTCTGGCAATAGGAGACTGGCATGGTGACGTAATCGGCCTTAAAATGCGGCCTTTAAGGCTGCAGACCCTGAATTGGGATACAGCCTCTGAATCGCTGCATCTTGTAGCTGTGTCGTCTTAAATTGGTCATGTGATTTTGACGCGCCGGCGCGTCCGGCAACCCCAGAGGTTTAACTTAATATTTAAGTGTCTCTTGGTTTTAGACTAGTTGTTTAGTCTAATTTGATGTTTTAAACCAGAAAAGGAAGAAGAGGGCTTAGAATTACAGGTAAGAACTGCTCAGTGGTATGTGATAAACTGTAAATGTAAAGCTTACAGGTCAGTCCTCATGTTTTTAAATCAGATTTTGAGTCTGTACATGGCACATTATGCTTTTGCATGTTGTGAAATGTGCTGCAAAACAAACTGAGGTAAACTAACTGGTTTACTGTGATGGATTTAAAGTGCGTGTGACTGGTGCGCAGTGGCTGTGGTGCTCACGGTCAGAGTTCAGTCACAAAGAGGGTAACAGAGATGAATTTAAAGTTAAGGTGATGGTGCTTAGATTCATTCACAGACTGAAACCTTCACACCAACTTTATCCTGTGTCTCTTAGTTTTAGACTAGTTGTTTAGTCTATTTTGATGTTTTAAACCATATCACAGGGTTTTTACTTCACCATTTACGGGGTTTTAACAAGCAAACAAAAGACAGATCGTGATGTTTGAAAATGTTTTGGAAATATTCTTTAAAGATTAGATGTAAAATACGCAGAGGATAAATTCAATTGGTTTATTAGTTTATTACATAAGTTGAAAAAAAGTTAAACAAGTAAATAAAGAAACAACGTAAAAGAAAAGTAAACAAAACAAATCGGTAAATAAAGGAAAATGGTAATAAGAAGGGAAAAAAAAGAAAAGAGAAAACCCCAACAATCCCCTCTGAGCAAGCACTAGGCGACAGTGGGGAAGAAAAACTGCCTTTAAACGGGCAGAAACTTCCGGCAGAACCAGGCTCACGAGGGGCAGTCAACTGCCGGGACTGGTTGGGGTGAAAAAAGATGAAGGAGAGAGGGAAGAAGTGTTAGGAGAGAAGGGGAGAGGAGAGGTGAAAATTAAGATGGAACAGAGGTGGAGGGAGACGAGGTGACGTCAGCAGTAGAAAAAATAGAAAAAGTAGAAAAAGCAGGAGTGTCCCTCCTCCAGAAGAAGCGGAAACGTTTTTTCTTCTTTTCCATGAGCTTTTCCACGACCACTTTTTTCTCTAGGATGAGGGTTCTCAACTGATCGGTTGTTTCTTCAACTTCCTTCTCAAGTTTCTGGCATCTTTGCTCCATTTCTTTTAATAGATTGCACTTGTCTGTATTTTGCTGTTGTTTTTCCTTGTGCATCTTTTCTAACTGCTCATTTCTTCTTGTGATTTCTTGAAGCTTACGCTGCAGGTCTTCATTTATTTTCTCTTGTTGCTGCTTTTGTGCAAGCATTTCAGCGTTTTCACACTTCAAGTTGTCTGAGTTCAACAACATCTCATTAATGACCTCTGAGTGTTTTTTCGCCATTTCATTGATCCTACGCTGCATCTTTGAACATCGTTTTTCCAATACTTCTCCTTCCAGTTCAGGTGTTCTGTCCTTCATTGTATTAATTTGTTCAGTTGTAGATTTCTTCTCTCCAAGTCCTGGAGAATACGTTTTTTTTCTTTTTCCTGTTGCTCTTTCTCTTGAAGAAGCTCTTTATTTTTGCACTCTGTTTCATCCAGCCTGACTGGATTTGGATTTATTGAAGAAGGACCACCAAAATCTTTGTTCTATTTGGTGTACATGTTAAGAGTTGCTGGACTAACAGTTGGTTTGATTTGCTTCAGAGAATCCTCAAAGTCTTTTATCTTAATGTTGCGCACCTCAGCAGCAGCTATAACACGGACTTGTTCTGGTGCCAACTCTCTTATTGGGCCAAGTGCAGCATCTTTGGCTAATGCTGTCAAATCGCTCCCTGAATATCCTTCAGTCACTTTTGCAAGACAGGACAGTTCGTCTTGGCTCAGTGGACTCCCGTGCGTTCCCAAAAGATTTTTCAGCAGCGTAAATCTTGTCTTCTCATCGGGTAAGGTCACATATACTCTTTTTGCAAAGCGCCTTAATATTGCTTCATCGAGCTCCTGGGGCCTGTTCGTTGCTCCCATTACAAGTACTCTGTCATCCTTTCCTGACTGCAACCCGTCAAACTCAATGAGGAACTCAGTTTTTAAACGGCGAGAGGCGTCGTGCTCCCCCTCCCTCCTTTGACAGAGCAAGCCGTCCACTTCATCGATGAAGATTACTGAGGGCTGTCTCTCTCTTGCAACTGCAAAGAGTGCTCGTACGAGCTTCTCGCCTTCTCCCACATATTTGGAGGTCAAACTAGCAGCACTGATGTTGAAGAATGTTGCATTAGACTCTGCAGCAACTGCTTTGGCGAGCATGGTCTTCCCATTTCCTGGTGGGCCAAATAAAAGCAAGCCACGTGCAGGAGCTCTCAGACCAGTAAAGAGATCAGGTCTTAAGGCAGGAAGGATGACAATTTCTTGAAGTGCTTGCTTTGCCAGATCCTGCCCTGCGATGTCATCAAATGACACAGTCGCTCCACTGTATACAATTTCATTTGTAATTAAGCTGACCAGTTTACTGTCCACATTCTTTTTCATATCCCTCTTCGGGGGCTGTTTCACAGCTGCCGGTCTTCCATTCTGAGTTTTTCCCACCCGAGCGGTTTTCTTTGCATCAGTTATTCTTAATGGAGGTCTTACAGAAGTGGAGGGTCTGATGGTGGTGGAAACACCTGCGGGTTGACTTTTAGGAACTGACTTTGGCTTACTTGCAATTGTTTTGGTCGACATTTCTCTTGCGCGACTTCCCCCCTGTTCACAGTCATAACACGGTAAACTAGTCATAAACGAAAACGTTTAGGCTATTTATCGCATTTAAAGGTCTTTCTTTGGGACAACGTCACAGAACACAGAAACGTCACAGGGCTTTGGAGCGTGATGTTACAGAGGTTTACAAATACTTTCAAATATAGCTCTGGTCGAACGTTTGAAGGCTGCGAACAAACTGACTAAAACTTGCTGCTCCTGACCCCTATTTATAGAAAAACTTCAAAGGCTCAAAGGCATGTGCTTGTGACATCATCACATGTCCTTGTGACATCATCACATGTCCTTGTGACATCATCACTCTTCATGAATCAGATTGTCACATGACATTT